CTAGGCAGAAATAAAGCCACAGGGGTTGATCCCCACTGATTCTTTTGATCAGGACAAGGAATTTGGTTTTTGCATTTCAGTTCACATATCTATAAAGGGGAATTATTCAACCTCTCAGTGATGATGTCAAAACCTTTCATTCTAGTATTGTATTACTACCATAGGCATTTTTTGTTTCTCAGTTCTTGTGTTTAGCTGTTCTATTTAACTCATTTAGCTTTTTATACATGAATGCCTTTTTAGTGTAACAGAGTAAACTTTTTGAGAATTATGTTCACATTTATACATCTCTAAATTTCAGCTGCAAATTAAGTTACCTTTGTGGTTCCTTAAAAGTTGCTATTAGCATAGAATTCAGAGTGGAGTAGGGCAGCAGTGAAATTCAGACTTTAGATTCTAACACATATTCGAACACCAATCCTGCTGTTAACTGGGTGGCCTCTAGCAAGTTATATGACTTTTAATAAAGTCTTTAGTAAAGACCTTTTTTAAAAGATTTATTTATCCATTTATTTGAGAGAGAGAGAAAAAGAGAGCACAGAGGGGGAGAGGGAGAAGCAGACTCCCCGCTGAGCAGGGACCCTGGGATCATGACCTGAGCCAAAGGCAGATGCTTAACCAACTAAGCCACCCAGGCGCCCCTAGTAAAGACCTGTAATAACACCTTAGCAGGCAGCCCACGTAGGCTGCAATGAGGTTGGTGTGTCTAACAACATCGAGCACTCGCTGATCTACAGCTGCTTCTATAAGCACTCTCCATGAGGGAACAGTCGATTAGAATTTGTACCTACTGCCCTTGGTTAGCATAGTATTTTAAACATCAGTCTGATATATTTGCCATCATAGATTCTTACTAAATTAATAAATAAAATTTGTTTCCGGAATATCATAAGAGACACCTGACAAGTATCAAGCAAAAACAAAAACACTGTGGAGGAGCCCCCAGATTCCTTAGTCCAGCATGCAGTCCTCCTCACCCACCCTTTGTCCTCCACCTTCGCCGGGCCCCTGGGCGAGGAGGTGGGGCGTGGCGGGCTGCCGCTTACTTGGCCCACTGCATTTTCCAGCATGCCCCTCTCGCGCCACCATTGCTGGGGCGCTCACCCTGACACAGTCCCCGAATTGTAGACAAACCCTGCTCCTCCGAGCAGAGCGTACAGATCGGCAGCTTCCGGGCCAAATGTGGCCTGAAGATGTGCTTTGTTTGGCCTCAGTGATTTAAAATTAGGAGCTTTCACACATACGCACACACAAAATTCGTTGTCCCCTTTTCTCGAAGCCTGGGCAATAACAGGCTGAAGCTGAGTGGCAGCCGCCCCTTTCCAGGAGCTCCCACTCCAACTCTGGCCATGGCCCCGCTTTGCCCTGTTGCGTTAGGTCTGGTCAGTTTGTTCATCTCCATCCTTTCCATTAACAGCCTATTCATGTACAGTCTGAGGGGCGCCTGGCTGGCCCAGTCGGTGGGGTGTGCGACTCTTGACCTCGGGGTTGTGGGTTCAAGCCCCACGCTGGGTACAGAGATTACATAAAAAATGCAATCTTTAAAAGACTGTACGGTGTGAATGGCGCCCCCTGGAGTTCTGCAGTGCAATCCACCTTCCTGGAGGCAGGAAGCTTATCTCAAAATCCAGCGCCAAACCTTGGTGGTCTCTTCATCATCAGTTATAACTGTAACGTGTTTGCCTGCATGTTTATTCAACATTTATCGGCCTTAAAATAAATTTAAAAAAAATCTCTCTGAATTGATACATTATGTCAGTTTCTGGGATGTAGGGCTTTGTCTTGCATAACCTTATAAGCAGAGATTTATTTTTCCTTCAACCTGACTCAAGTTGATGATTGAACTTGGCTTCCCAAGGGCGTACAACTACATGGAATGTCTGCAAACCTGATACAAGGAGAAAATAGGCTTGCTGGATTCATTTTGAACACACTTCCAGCCTGATACCTCCAAGATACTAAGTTTGGTTGCCAAAAAAACCACATACTATTGCCTTCGTGAAAGCTGGCCTGCTATCACCTCTTTTTTCCTCCCTCAGAATTTTCTTTTACCCTTTCTCCAGAGGGCTAATTTTAGCCCGCTATCACATTGGGAAAATATGTGATTTATCTCCCACATGGTTCCAGAAACCTGCCTGGATATAGATGGGGAAGGTCGGATGCCCATGGAACAGGAGTACCCTCCTCCCGTGTCCCAGGCAGCTGAGTTTGGTGACTGCAGGCTGGGAGGCTGGGAAGGCTGGGAAGGCTGGGAAGCTTTCTCTTACCTTATTTTACCCAGAGGACCAGGTCCTGCTGATGTCCCAGGACCCTTTCCCACATTCCCTTTACTTCAGTCCATCCTGTGCAATGTACATGCATCTCCTTTATGAATTTTGTGGCCAAACATATATGATATTTCTTCTTAAGTGTCCCACAAACCCAAATGCCTGCAGGAGTGAGACAGGTAAAGCCTAAATGAGTAAAGAGGGAACCATCCTAAGAGGGGTAGAAACCACTCCATTCTAGCCCAACGTGGGGAATGCGGGCCCAGCATTGCTGATCTGATTTTTCAAGAAAAGTAAGAAATGGGGCGCCTGGGTGGCTCAGTCGTTAAGCGTCTGCCTTTCGGCTCAGGTCGTGATCTCAGGGTCCTCAGGTTGAGCCCCGCATCGGGCTTCCTGCTCAGCGGGGAGCCTGCTTCCCCCTCTCCCACTCCCCCTGCTTGTGTTCCCTCTCTGGCTGTGTCTCTCCCTGTCAAATAAATAAATAAAATCTTAAAAAAAAAAAGTAAGAAATTTGTTTTATTAACATAAAATCTCCTTCATTAAAATCTTTGGCGAACTTGGGTGAGCCAAAGAAAACATTTCCATGCACTGTGTTTGGACCCCATGCCTCCAGTTTACAATTTTTTTTTAAGTTTTATTTATTTAAGTAATCTCTACCCCCAATGTGGGGCTCGAACTCACAACCCAAGATCAAGAGTCACATGCCCCTCTAACTGAGCCAACCAGGCACCCCCACTTTGCAATTTCTTGGTGAACAAAAAATATGCAATCCCTCCCTTTGGCATAATGCTTCTAGGGAGATTTCCTGAAGGATGTAACTTAATAATGCAAGCAGAGTAGCCATTATTTTCAAAAAGCAGTGTTCTACCATGGTGAGTTCTGTAGGCTGGCTCATTTCCCCCTTTAGGTTCCTGCCTTCCCCACTTCATTCCCAGCCACGCGTCCCAGGGCTCATCACTTGCACTTCAATACCACTAGCCATGAGCAGGCCATGGTAGATAAGTTGGGGTGATTTGTTGAATTGAAATAAGTTCTGCCATCACGGGAAGCAGTTTTGGAACTCGTGTTTTAACGATGCTTTTGGGGGACAGAGTCAAAGCCACTTGTGACAATCATTCTCATCTTACATTTTATAAAAATGTTTTCATATGACCTTCTGCTGTCTGTAATTACATGACAAAATATCACAAGGTTGGGCTCCAAATGACTTCTAGCTATTTCCTAATATATATTTTTTATGTACTACCAAGTAGAATATTGGGATAGCCATTTTCAGTAATGTCTGCCATGAACTTGGATGGCAATTCTAAGAAAAGTGTTGTGGGGCATTTCAGAATTGAAAGGCATCATTGCAATGGTATGTGACGACTACTGAAGCAATTATTTTATAAAGACCAACACTTATTCAACAAACATTTATTAATGTTTATTCTATATAGAACACAGTGGACTAGCTGCTGGAAGGAATGGAGTAGAGATTTCATAAATTCCAGTGCACTTATTATTATTATTTACTGGTAGTATTGTACAAACTTAAAAGCTTTATTTATTTTAGACATATCTATTCACTCTGTGCCAGGAACTATTCTAAACATTTTATAACTATTAACTTATTTGATCCTTTAAACAACCTTACAGTGTATGTAATATTATGACACCCAGTACAGACACATCTTCATCTATAAAGATGAGGAAATTGAGGCAGAGAAGTAAGTGACTTGCCCAATACTACACTGCTAACAAGTGGCAAGGCCAGGGGTGCCGGGCTGGTGCAGTCCCTTGAGCATCTGACTCTTGGTTTTGGCTCAGATTGTGATCTCAGGTTTGTGAGATCGAGCCCCGCATTGAGCTCTGTGCTTAGCACAGAGTCTGCTTGAGATCTTTTTCTCCCTGTCCCTCTGTTCCTCCTGCTTATCCCCCACCCTCTCTCTTAAATAAATAAATAAATCTTTAAAATAAGTGGCAAGGCCAGATTGTGACCCCGGGTAAGTTTGACTCCAAAATCTGTGCTTGAAATCATTGTACCAGTTAGCTACTGCTGCATAACAAAAACTCATGTGTTTGTGGTCAGCTGGGCCTGGCTGGTCTAGGAGATCCTTGCCTCGATGACCCAGCTCTCCTCCACATGGTGTCTCATCCTCCACAGTTGTAGCAGGGGTCTGAGAAACAGAGGGAAAATTCACAAATACCTTTTCTTTTCTTTTTTTTTTTTAAAGATTTTATTTATTTATTTGAGACAGAGAGAATGAGAGACAGAGAGCATGAGAGGGAGGAGGGTCAGAGGGAGAAGCGGACTCCCCACCGAGCAGGGAGCCCGATGCGGGACTCGATCCAGGGACTCCAGGATCATGACCTGAGCCGAAGGCAGTCGCTTAACTAACTGAGCCACCCAGGCGCCCGCAAATACCTTTTCAATCTTCCACTTGCAGCAAATTTGCTACTGTCTCATTTGACCAAAGCACATCACATGGTTATATCCATGTGGGAGGGCACTACAAAGGGGCATGGGCATTGAAAAGTGTACAAATCGGGGCTTTTTAATATAATTAACCTACTGGGGTCATGGTTCAACACCATGCTATTTTTATCCTACTTTCCAGACAGTTTCAATTTGATATTTCAGACCCCAGATGCGTTGTGAAAATGCTAAATCAAATGTAGCCTTGTTGGCTTAGGAAAGTCATAAAAGAACAGTAGAAAATGTGGAAAATGAAATGATGTTTATGATTATAGACTGATCCTGGGGAAACACCATCGGAAGTTCCGAATGAAGCCAGGACAACTCCAGCAGAAAACGGAGTGAATCACACTACATCCTTGGCACCCAAACCACCCTCCCAGGCTCTCCACAGCCAACCAGCTCCAGGTAAACACTCTGAAAAGAGAGCTATACGACATGACTAAGAGCCTCCAATTTATTTGTGCCACTCAAAGAGAAAGCATGAGCAAAGATGCAAGGACGTAGGAGGAGCTCCAGAAATGTGGAATGAATGAATGAATGCCAAGAGAGATTCATGAGTGCTCATCTTATGGTAACATAAGTTATCATCTTATGAAGCTACAACAAACCATCGCCCAGATCTCCATGTCTATTTAGTGATCAGTTATAATCCATGTGGGGGCAGGGTTTGTGAAGGGTTCTTCATGCAACTTATAAAGAGCTATGCTTGACAAGCTCATTCTTAGCTCTACCTTACAATGCCAACAATTCCTTTCCATCTTTCTCCAACTTATTTTTCAATGGCCTTGGGTGTCCACCATGTGCTGAGCACTCTTTTCAGCCCTTCAAGTGGATTGACTCATTTCACCCTAGTGCCAGGGCTATGAGGGTAGCTTCTGTCATTGTCCCCATTGGGCAGATGAAGAAATTGGTTTTAAGATGGAGAAGTACTTCCTGAAGGCCACATAGCTAGTGAAGAAGGAAGTCAGGATGGACACAGTTCCCTATGATCCCAGTTCTTGCTTTCAACTCTATTCCTACCAAAGGTCCACTCTTGTCTCACTCCTTAGAAAAATCCTTTGATTTCTGTGCAGCTAACTTTGACCTTTGATCTAAGACTGCTTTAGGCAATTCTCTCTCCTATGTATGTCCCCTTTCCCCAGTAGATGGTAGGCTCCCCAGGCTTCAGTTTGATGCTTCCTTTGCACAGACCTGAGGAATAGCGTGTCCTTGATCACTTTTTGTTGAATGGGTTAATATAAAGTAAATAAAAGGGAGAAGAATTTCCTTCCATGTAGTTATGTCTTCCTTGTCTCCTTCCTTCCTCGTCCTACTACAGCATGGCAGTGACGAAATCCAGATTTTTTTGTTTGGAAGGGAAAAGGCATTTCTCATGAGGGAGAGTGGGATTTTTAAAAGAGCAAATCATTTTGAATTTGTATCAAGTGTGCATGAACTGGGCCCTGTGCTTTTAAGAAGGTTGTTGAGATCAATAACAGTAAGAAGATGATTTGATCATAAAGAGTGATATTTTCAAATGAAGAGTTTTATATACCAAATACAAACATTTTGAGGGCTTCTGGAATATAAATAAGTCATTTAAATATATGAGTAAATATAGTCTTGTGCTTTGAAGAGTAAAAGAAAATTTGGCATTTTAGCACTTGATTTTTTTAACTTGATGTTTTGAAATAATTTGACTTACAGAATCACTTTTAAAAATGGCACAGAATCACAAAACTGATCTCTTCTTCTCTAGGGTTAACATCTGTCAGAATCATGGTGCTGTTATCAGACCAGGATATTAACATTGGCACAGACCTCATTTGAACTTCACCTGCTTTCTACTAATGTCTTTTTCTTTTTTTTTTTTTTTTAAGTAGGCTCCATGTCCAGCATGGAGCCCAATGTGGGGCTTGAACTCATGACCCTGAGATCAAGACCTGAGCTGAAATTAAGAGTCCGACACTTAACCAACTGAGCCACCCAGGCGCCCCTTTACTAATGTCTTCTTATTGCTCCAGGTTCCAACTCAGGATCCCACATTGTATTTAATTGTCATGTCTCCTTAATCTCCTTGAATCTATGACAGTCCCTCAGTCTGTCCTGTCTTTTATGACCTTGACACTTTTGAAGAGTACTGGTCAGTTCTTTTGTGCAATATCCCTCAATTTGGGTTTGTCTGATGTTTTCTCGCAATTAGAGTGAAGTTTTGCATTTTGGGTGAGAATATCACAGAGACAAAACTGTCCCTCTCACTGCATCATATTAGGGGTACCTGATGTTAGTATTTCTCATTATCGACAATGTTGGAGCACTTGGTTGAGGTGGAGCCGGCCAGGTTTTTAAACTGAAAGTTCTCATTTCCCTTTTATAGATAATAGTTGTCTTGGGGGAGATGCTTTGAGCCTATGAAAATATCCTTTTTGTCCTTCAACTTATCTGATAATTTTGGTATCCCCCAGTGGATCTTGCCTGCCTCAGTTATTACTGCCTGCAGGTCAGCGTTTGATTTTTAAAAGTCCACTTGCCATTCCTGATCTTGCCAAAAGGTGGCAGTAGCATTGTTAAAATGGAATTTGTTGACCGTTTTGATTCAAAGTGGAGGGATGTCCTTTCTGTCTGTAAATGGAGCATATAGACTTGCATTTAATTAGGTTTGCCTCAAAGTAACAAAATGAAGACATTGCTTCCAAGGGGGAAAAACCCTAGTGATTTTCTCCTAGAATTTGTTATTTCTCCATAAAAAGACTTAGACTCAAGGGCCAAACTTAGTTGTTTTACGGGAAGAACACACTTTTTAAAGTTAAAGGAGGCTATTTCTTTTGTCTCTTTATTTCAGGTTCTGTAAAGGCACCTGCCAAAACAGAAGATCTTATTCAGAGTGTTTTAACAGGTAAATGCCACCTTCTTACCCCATGGAATTAGGCAGCTTAATATTATACAGCATAAGTATTTAGAGAGAGATTTCCTCTCATCTCTGAAAAATAACATCATTAATATTTCTTTTCTGAAAACATCCACAGATAAATAATCCTAGTTCAAGCCACATTATACAATGTAATCATGTCATCACAGAGAAGTAACCATATTTGGTAGATAGGACTCTTGGTATAAAAATAATATAATTTCATAAGATATCAATATTAGAATCAAAGGATAGTTTCATACAGGAAATATGACCCAGGGAACAGGAATACACACTTTCCCAAAGTGCCAATAATTAGCCGTATTTTAGAAATGCAGAATGTGAACCATTTGGGACCACAAAATACAGAATGTTTAAGAACTATGATCCCGTTGGAAAATAATTTATATTTGGTTAGTTCCTTAAACTAGTGGGACCAAAACTGGTACACGATTTCTTTAATAAAATGAGCAGCATGTGGCAGAATCTTCGAAATGTTTACAATATTTGGTCCAATACACAGAAGAAAGGCAAACACATGTTCACCAAAAGCAGCACTCTTGGTAATAGCCAAAAACTATGAACAACCCAGATGTCCATAAACAGTAGTGTAGATAAATAAATTGTGGTATAGTCACAGAATAAAATAGGGTACAGCTGTAGGGATAAATAAGCTATGATCATACACAACATGGATAAAATTCACATGCACAATGTGGGGGTAAAGAGGCCAGACACAAGAGAGCACATTCTTTGTAATTCCTGCTACGTACAGCTAAAAACAGGCAAAATGAATCCGTCCGTTAGAAACACGGATTTGGATTATACTTGGGAGGGGAGAGAGAATGCAAAAGCCAAAAAGAGGATCTCCGGGGCACTGATAATATTCTGATCTTGATCTGAGTGGTGGTGACGAAAGTCTGTTCGCTCTGGGAAAATGTATAGGGGGGTGGATTTATGATTTATGCGCTTTTATGTGTGTATATTTCACCAATATGTAAAATCTGCATCGGATAATTACTTGAGGAATGTATTAAAACATATTCTAAAAGATTTAATTCCATGGGCAACAATATAATGTTAACACATAAAACAAGAGACAGTCCAATGTTATTTTTTTTTAAAAGATTTTATTTATTTATTTGAGAGAGAGAGAAGGAGAGAGCACATGAGAGGGGGGAGGGCCAGAGGGAGAAGCAGACTCCCCGCCGAGCAGGGAGCCCGATGCGGGACTCGATCCAGGGACTCCAGGATCATGACCTGAGCCGAAGGCAGTCGCTTAACCAACTGAGCCACCCAGGCGCCCCAGTCCAATGTTATTTTAAAATACATAAATGTATAGGGAAAAGACAGTGGATATGTACCAAAGTTATTAGTGGTGAGGATCTCTGGGTGGCTTGTTTATGAGTGATACTTGTTTCTTTATGTAAATGAACATTCCCTTTATGCTTAAGAGCCTATTCGAAGAATAGCCTTTTATCCCAGACTTTAAAAAAAAAAGATAGTACTTTCTGTGGAATTTTTTTTTTAATCATAGGTTGGAACATCTTGAGCCTTCTTGCTAAACCTGCTGTTGCTGGAGTGCTCTATGCCATTTTAATGAAGTGGGATTGAATCTGTTACCCAAAATGTAGCAATTCCTTAGGATTATAAATTCGTAGTATAATAAGTTATTATGCAACCATAATGAGTCCATTTGGGCCTGAGGGAAACCATTAGATAAATGTACCTGATTCTCTTCCTGGCCTCTTTCTCAAAAGGAATCGAATGCCAGGAGAATAGACACATTATAAAAAAGGGGAACATGTTTCAATTGCTTAACGACCTTAGCATTGAAGCACATGAATTATTATTCTGATTTCAGTGTTTATCCACTAGATAACTCATTTCTATTCAGGTCTGTTGTTGTTCATGGCGTATATTATTTCTGAATCTCCTGACAGTTCTAAATATTTATGATAACATATTTTTGTTCCCAGAAGCAGAAAGTTCAAATGAAAGGATGGAAACATGTGAACTGTGACTTAAGTTAGGTCCAAACAAATGATAATTCATTGAAGTTAAGACACCATCAGTTTGAAGGCACCCCACTATTCATGGATTGCTAAGAAAGAAAAGCACCAACAAGTTGTGATTGTACAAAGCATCTTAATTTCAGAAATGTTTGCATACTTTAAAATTCGTATTCTAGAATTGATGAACTATGTCGGTAAAATACAGAACGTTTTAAGGTCCAGGTCTGTCACATTACATGTTTTCTAAGCACTGGATTAAATACCTCATAGTAATGGATGCTACCATTAACCCTGATGGTGCCTTTGGGCAAATCCCATCAAGGGACCTGCCCTCACTTCGGTGCTTTTTCCTGGAACACTGTTGTAAGAAATCTAAACCTACAAAGTCTCTGGTATGAAGAGTGCCCCTTCGAGACCATGCTGTATATATGATCATTTGTTAAGCCTCAACAGGCACACTGCCAGAAAGTGTGTTCAGTACTTTGCATGATTCTTTCATTTCGCCATCACAACAATCCTAACAAGTAGTGGAAATACTGAGGTCCTTAAAGTGGATCCTGTTGGTGCCCATCCCTTTCCCATCTGGTGCACCCATGCTCCAGCTGTGGTTGAGAGTTGCTGCTAACAGCTCATAGCTTCCCTTTCTCTTTAAAATTGCCCTAAGCCCAGAGGAAGACCCCTCACCAGGAGGTTATGCCTTCCTTCCCTGACCTTCTCAATGTGCAAAAGGCTGGTCTTCTTGCCTCAAGGTGAGACCCACTCTGTCATCCTCCAGAGCTCCCACCCACAGGCAGAAGCCAGGCTCCTGTGGAGACCATACCATTGCTCAGCTCCTTCCCCTTCCTTGTCTGCTGCACTCTCTTCCTCCCCCTGAGCCCTTCTCAGTAAATCACATACACTCGAATCCACCCCACCCCCCCGCCCTCAGGCTCTGTTTCTAGGGAAGCCAAACTTTCCAAAAAAAATTATGAGTTAAGAAATTGGGTCTTTGAGAAATTCGGTGACAGAATCGCAGAAGTTACCAAGTGCCAGCCTGGAACCAAGATACGTTTGACATCCAAGCTCTGCTCGGAAGCTCCAGTTGGCTGGGATCAAACAAATATTGCCTGAGAAGCAGGTTGCTACTCCTCTTTACATCTGTGTTTGCAGTCCTTCCACGTCTGTTAGCTCTTATACTCATTTGTTGCAGAAGTGGAAGCCCAGACCATCGAAGAGCTAAAGCAGCAGAAATCATTTGTGAAACTTCAAAAGAAGCACTACAAAGAAATGAAAGACCTGGTTAAAAGACACCACAAGAAAACCACTGACCTAATCAAAGAACACACTACAAAGTATAATGAAATTCAGAACGACTACTTGAGAAGGAGGGCAGCTTTGGAAAAGACAGCCAAAAAGGACAGTAAGAAAAAGTAAGTTGAGTATTTCTACTTTGTTTCATAGTGTGAAGGAAAAGAGTCCTATACGTGGATTTTTCAGTATTTTACACCATATTTTGGATCCAGGGCAAGAAGGAAGGCCACCTCAGCTCAGTTTTGCTTGTGGACTAAATTTCTTTATTTGCCTGCCTCCTAAGAATAGATATACAGGAAGTCCTATCCTTGGGTTCTGGCCTGTGGGCCCAATACCAGTTGGCTGACTTCCCATATTACAGCTGTTAACTTGGCCGGTATACAGTTTTGCTGTGTTCTAGAACCTAGTTGAAGAGGTGACTTGTTATAGAAAAGAGCTGCCTTTGCTGAAACCCACAGAGGCTTGTACAGGTAACCCTTGTGTTTGGGTCTAGGGGTCCCCATAGCCCCATGTACCTGGACCTTGACAAGGAGAAGCATCTCTCACACATTCATTCAACCAACATTTATTGAGTGCCTACTGTGTGCCCTGGGGACACAGCAGTGACCATGACCTTTGCAGTTATCACCCATAAGTAGCTAGCATGGCAATGCAGGGAACTACGTGATCATGCAAGCCACCTGCCCCTGAGCTGAGTCAGATAGGCTCTATTCCATCCTTTCTTTCTCTTCCTTATGGAATAATCTTAGCTTGATGCCAGGTTAGAGAGAGATGTAAGAGGCAATTTCAGATCCACATTGTGACATATGATTGAATATGTGCTTAACTTAATGGCACAATCAAAACCCAGTAGTTGGGTTTTAAAAAGCAACAACATCACTATTTCTTAGAATTAGAATAGTCTTAGAAGCCATCGAGGTGAACTGCTGCCACTTCTTCAGGGAGGAAGCCAAAAGCTCAAGACATTTACACAATTACACAATTACAATTACACAGTTACACAATGGTTCAGGCAAAGCTTGGCCTAAAACTTCTAAATTTCTGTTGCAGTGATATATATGTGTTTGTTTATTCACATATTTGTTTACCTAGAGGTCATATCCTGAAAACTTCTAATAGAGTATGGAAGTAATTCATCGTAGAAGACATATGTAAAAATCCTATGAAAATAGAAAAAGGGAAGCAACACACATACACACAATCTGAGTGGCTACCAGTTATCAAGACCCGCTGTCCAATATGGCAGCCACTAGGCACATGTGGTTTTTGAGCCCTTGAGAAGTGGCTCATGGAAGTTGAAATGTGCTGTAAGTCTCAAATACATACCAAATTTCAAAGACTTTATTTAAAAAAAAAAGAATATAAAATAGCTCATATTTTATATTGACTTACATTGATTTTACTTTAATTACATGTTGAAATGATCATATTTTATGTATACTAGGCTCCATAGTGTGTTATTAAAATTAATTTCACTCACTTCTTTTTACTTTTCAAGTTAGCCACTAAAAATTTTAAATCACATATGTGGAAAAAATCAAATACGTGGCCCATGTTATATTTCTACTGGACGGTATCAGCCATTTAATGTAATTTCTATCCTTGAACACTGAATTTTAGCTCTTAGTTTCTGAGAAAAGGGAATATGGGCTAGATAATTCTCCTTATCTGATTAAAGCAAACTTGCTTGTTTTTCTAAGAGTGACAAACATTTTCCTGGTATTAAATTACAGAATTCATCTCATGGATCTTATAGTCAGTAGTAGAAAACAGGGGATAATGTCTTCAACCCTCTTTTTACAGAAGATACAGAAACACTGTTTCCTTGGTTATTTTTTTATATTTTTCTTCAAAAAATAAATAAACAAAAATCCCTAAGCATCTAGTATCAAAAGAGGTACATCAAGAGAAACTTCTCTTTAAGAGGCAAAGAACTAAAAAAAAAAAAAAAAAAAGAGGCAAAGAACTGAGGTCTGATTATGTCCGACTCTCTCCCATCACCTTTGATACACATTAAAATCCTGAAAATACCTCAGAGCAATAAATGGGAATTATTGTCCATTAGGTTAGTTTCTTATTAAAATACCCACTGTCTCAACTGAGCTTTCCACATCCTGGAAAGAGCAGATCAGACACGGGCATGCAGTGTTTGTGTTGTTTTTAACAACACAGCCTTTGCCTTATTCTAGATGTCTGTCCTTGGATGAGCTGCTCTGGGCTCCCCCATACTGTGTTCTTAGGCAGATTGTCTCACTGAACCTCAGTTTCCTCAAATGCAAACTGGAGATGGCCACACCTACTTGTTGGGTTGCTGTGAAAAGAAAACCAAAAGTAGAGAGTGCCTGGTAAATGTTGCATGGTCAGTAACTATTGACCTGTGGCCTCTGCTGTGGTGGTTGTGGTGGTTGTGGTGGTTGTGGCTGATTAAAGAGATGTCTTTATGTTCTGGTTACACTGACTTCCTGCTACCAAAGACAATAAATGTATCTCACGTTCAGGCCAAGATGGAGGTCACCTCGCTGATGCTACTTATTGTGATATTGACAAATCATCTTGTATTCATGCCAGGATGGACGGCCACCTCAATGCTGCCATGCCATTCTGATGTATCAGGTGTCCTGAGCCTTGTAGAGTGTTCATTCTCATTTAGCATTGCACATTAAAATGCAAATAGAAACTTTTGAGGGAATTCTGCATCCCTTATTTGCCACAATAGGATCCTAACACCAACTTCAACCAACTGCCTCTCCTGAGGTACCATCAATGCTGGCCTAAGTCAAAGTGAAAGCAACAGGAATTAGGGCCAGCTGATTCAAGAAACTTCCACCTGTTCCGCCTGGCCACAAGCGAAAAACATGGAGGCAGAATCTGATGTGCTAGATATCTTAGGTGGTTTAGTTTTCTTTCTGCAGAAGTTTCCATATGAATGAAGAAAACAGACCTGCTCTTAGTACCCCATTCCCAACACCATCTCCTTTTCTGTGTGCCCTAAAAAAAGTAAGAGCACAAAATTTGAAGGAATCACACCATATGTTTTAGCACAATCAGTTAGTGAGAATTGCTTTGATTTATTTCAAGATTACTCCTAAACTTCTCAAAATCTGCATAATTCTCTATGAACAACTCAAAGAAAGTCACTGTGCACAGAGTAAGCACTCAATAAGTATTTTTCAATGAACTCACGCATCCTCCTTTCTCTTGTAACTTAACCATTTGGAGGAAAGTGCCATTTTGGGTAGAGCTATCCATGAAGTTGGTACATCCCCCAAAGAAACTTATTTTAATAATGTATCTTTGCTATTAAAAGACGTCAAGAAACAGAACATGTCACCTGGGGGAGGGGTCTGCACATGCTCTCTGTTTTCTATCCATCACCCAGATGCAAAATTCAACACCTCTTCAACTCTCCTGACAGAATCCAATCAATGTCGAGTGTACTGAAGTCGTTATAGGACATTAAGTAGCCGAGAATTACATTATACATGTCTTGTTAAAAAATTAAAAGATAAAAGCCTTAAAAGATCCTTATTAGACATTGTTTTTCCCTAGGCGGGGGTGGGAGGATTATCATTCTCTCCACCACTACCACAGGGTCCCCAGCCTCCTGGCTTTCTTTCTCTGTCCCTACATGAAATCTCACAAATGTCATCCACTCTGTGTTTGGAGACCCTCCACTGCTAAGCTTGTCCTTAGGGTATCAGCCTCTATCTCAAGTGGTTTGTTAAAACATTTATTTCCCAACACAACACTCTATCTAGGAGGAACTGTGGTATGCAATGTTCCCTCCACCTTGTTATGACCTGCCTGTTTTGTGAGTCAAGCTCTGTGTCTCTGCAGGTCAGATCCCAGCAGTCCTGACCATGGTTCATCAACGATTGAGCAAGATCTTGCTGCCCTAGATGCCGAAATGACCCAAAAGTTAATAGACTTGAAGGACAAACAACAGCAGCAGCTGCTTAATCTTCGACAAGAGCAGTATTATAGTGAAAAATACCAGAAGCGAGAACATATTAAACTGGTAAGCCCAAGAAATGCTGTTGTGTTTGTATAGCTGGAACCCTCTTTTCTATAGAAAACTCTTGGTGCTCTTGGATAACTTTAAAGAGAGACAGTGGGGACTCCTGGGTGGTTCAGTTGATTGGGCGGCTGCCTTCGGCTCAGGTCATGATCCTGGAGTCCCAAGACTCCCCTGGAGTCTTCTCCCTCTCCCCCTCCCCCTACTCCTGTTCTCTCTCTCCCTCACTCACTCTCTCTCAAATAAATAAATAAAATCTTAAAAAAAAAAATAGAGACAGTGGCGGGTCTGGCTGGCACCTTCCTCTGGCTTCCTTAGCCAATAATCTTATCTTGATGCCAGGTTATAGAGAGAGGTAAGATGCATTTCTCCGATACATATTGTGGTGTGCTTTAATGCGTGCTTAACTTAAAAGCACAATCAAAACCCAGTACCTGGGCTTTAAAAAGCAACAAAATAATTTCTTAGAACTTGAAATTGCATAAGGGCACCTAGTGTCCACCACACTAATATTTTATAAGCTCCACTCTTCCAGCATCTTCACCAAGCTCCTCTCTGTTCCCCAATGATGCTATGTTTTATTGTTTTATTTTCACTAACTTATTTTGGGGTTATTATAGTTTTTTGGGGGGAGATTCTTTGAACTCTCACAAGGAATTAATAAAAAAACAATGCTTATTTTGATTCAAGAAAATTAACAACATGCTACAAATAAATATTCACTATTTTTGGTGTCAATGGGCCTTGCAGACACTACACAGTACTGTCCACTCTCCTGCATTTAGAAGAGTGTCTGGCCAGTCTGGGATATTGTCTACCCAATTGCTGAGGCCCCCTGTGGAAGGAAATGCCATAGTGATCAGTTTTGTCCTCCAAAAGGTTTTCTTGAAGGTTGTGACAACTGTTGTTGATGCCTTGAGGTCATGATAAATATGTGGTGACAGATTAAATGATCAAATGATAAAGTAGCCTTGAAAACAAACCTGTGCCCCAAACAAAACAAATGAGTAAGCTAATAGAAATTGAAGTTGTGTAGCCAGAGTTTGTATGTGTTTTTATGTTTCTGCTTTGGACATGGGTGGGTGGTTTAGCGATTGGTGGATGGTTTAGCCATCACAGCGAACTAGGTGATTCAGTGTCATGCTGTTGACTTAGTGCTGGTTCCCCAGTGATGATACGCAAACGAGTAGGCCAAAGTCACGTGAGGAGCTTATCAAACATCAGATTCCACTTGGCCAGTTATTTTCAACTTCAGCATGCATCAGAATCACTTGGAAGGCTGTTAAAACACAGATTGTTGGTCCTTGCTCCGAATTTCCAATTCATTAGGCCTCTTGTAGGGCTGGTGATTCTGATGCTTGAAGTCCCAGGACCACACTTTGAGGACTGCTGCCTGATCACTAAATGTAAGGCTTGAGGATTTATTTTTAACAATATCCACTTGATTTGGGGGGTGCGGGGGCTGCCTTATCTGTGAACCACTGAAATAAGATCTGAGCTATGAAGGAATGGTAGGTCAGAGATCAGGTTCAGTGTAAGGAAGGGATTGCCTGACAGGCCAGAGAAAGTCAAAGTAAATCTTAGTGAGAAATAATGGTTTTGAGACCTTGCTACCATGACAGCCATCTGATTTTCTCCAGTACCTCACCCGTGGTACTCCAGAAAATAACAACAATAATAAAAATTAAAATAATAACCATGTATTAAGCATTCACCATAGGGGCCATACCTTGTGCTAAACCATTTACAGAAATTGTCTGATTTAATCCCTACAACAACCACCACTGGAGTTTAGTATTATTGTCCGCTTATTTTACAAATAAAAAACAGAGCAATTCACAACTAGAAAATGATGAGGTTGGGATTTGAACCTTGGTCCTCTGACTCTAGAGGCCCTGCTTTCTAACTATTGTGCAGATACCTCTGGTAAATCAGATTTCAAACCAAACTTATCATAATGACCTCATATCTACTCACACAGGACATGCACAGCCAACTCCTTCATTACAATGACTGGGATACTGTACTGTCTCTTTCTCTTCAACAGCTTTATTATATATGCCATACAATTCACTCCTTTAAGGTGTATAGTTCAGTGGTCTTTAGTATATTCATGGATATGTACAACCATCAGAACAATTTTAGAACATTTTTATCACCTCAAAAATAAACCCTCATTCATGCATTCACTAAACAAATACTTATTAGATACCTACTCAGTAAATATTTTCAAATAGAAAAGGGGAAAAAATGACAACAATCCCAGCCTTTATGGAGATTACATTCTAGATGAGGGGTCAGACCATGAACAAAATATGTTGGTACGGGGCACCTGGGTGGCTCAGTCAGTTAAATGTCTGCCTTCAGTTCAGGTTGTGATCTTGGGATCCTGGGATCGAGCCCCGAGTTGGGCTCCCTGCTCATCAGGGAGTCTGCTTCTCCCTCTCCCTCTGCCCCCTCCTCCCATCGTTCATTCTCTCTTTCTCTCAAATAAATAAAAGCTTTAAAAAAGTTGGTAAAATATATAGTATGTCAGGTGGTCCTAAAGGTTAGGAGAAAAATCAATAAATGGGGAAATAGGGAGTGGGGATGGAGGGAAAGTTGAGGAACATGCTTTGAAATTTTAAATTGAGTAACCAGGAAGGACTCACTAAGAGGCAGCAGCTGACTTAGGAGTGAAGGACTGACGTCTACAAACACATGAGGCTGGATTGTGCACAGCAGAAGGATTAGCAAATGCAAAGACTCTGGGTCAGGGATGGGGCTGTCTGTTGAGGGACCAGCAGGTTGGCTCTGTCTGAGGCTGTCCGAGATGGGACTTCTGGGGCTAGGGACAGATCTCTTAGAGTTGTAGACCTCTGTGTTTCATTCAGAGTGAAGTTGACGCCACTGGAAGGTTTTGCATGGAGGAGAGACATGACCTGAAGTAACCTTTACAAGGATCACTCTTCTAGTACATGATGAAGAGTAGGGTTCCAGGAGAACAGAGTTCAGATGAATGGTGGTTCACAGGGTTAGAAGTCCTGGGGTTCTCTGGCAGATGACTGCATTTGACAAATAGGGTGACTATTACTTGGAGGACTAGGCAATCCATCCATAATCATCCTGAGTTGCCCCAGAGTTCCAGCCCCTGGCAAGATTCCCTTCCCCGAGGAGAGAGACGCAGTAATTCAGAATAAGAGGAAAACTCGAGAGTCATGGGAGAGTCCCAAACCAAGAATTCAGAATGTGGATGAAAACAGAAGCCCAGACATGCCAGAAAGGACTTTAGGGGAGCAGGGGGCAATACAAATGGCTGCAGAAATCACAGGGAAGAGTTGCACAAGCTCAGCATCACAGGAGGAACACCTGGGCATGAGGCCCCACATCAGATCCCACTGGAAGAGGCCACAGAGAGTGGCTCAGCCGCTTTTCTCCCGGAGGGGAAGGTGGGCTGGGAACTAGGGAAGATCAAGCTGAGCTTCTAAGTGGAAAATTACTCCCCTGCAGGGATACTGGAACTGGAGAGGTAGTGGAACTCCTCCTGGAGGTGGCAGTCCAACAACAGGGGCTTCTACTCGCTTCTCCCTAAGAAGGAATGAGTGTGTCCATAATAAAAGCTTTGGGGCCCCTGGGCAGCTCAGTCAGTCAGTTGAGCGTCTGCCTTCAGCTCAGGTCATGATCCCAGGGTCCTGGGATCGAGTCCCGCATCGGGGTCCCGCTGCTTCTCCCTCTTCCTCTGCCTCTCCCCGCTGCTCGCGATCTCTCATGCACTCACTTGCTCTCTCAAATGAATAAATAAAATCTTAAAAAAAAAAAAAAAAAAAGCTTTGAAGAGTTTTTCAGAAAAACATACACACATGTCTAAGCTGGTCTGGCCCTTTCAGGACAAATATACTCAAAATACTCACCCTGTCACCTTTGTGATTGTGGATTTGGGTTTCAGATAAAGTCCTGATGTCTTTGAACACAGTTGTATTCTTTGGTTAAGACGGTGAAGGCCTAAATGCCTAGACTTTAGAACCACACAGAGTTTGTTTTATGGCCATTTGGAGGCATCCACAATTTCTACTACATGCCCTTAGCTGGCACATATCAAAACTTTCTCTCACTCCATTTGTAACAACCAGAAATTGTTCTGCCAGGAAATCTTTTGACCGAGAGCACCCAGAAGTGTTAGTTCTATCTTTGGTTGTGGATCCGAGTTATGAACAGCCCTCTCAGGCTAAATTAGACAAATGGAAGTGTAATTAAAAAGCAAGTAGGCCCCAGGTAAAAAGGAGTATTTGGGTGATGAGGAAAATTAAACAAGATATTCCATCTCCTAAAATTGCTTTGGGAATTAAATACAGATGTGTTTAGGTTAAGGTCTATACATTTCAAATGCTGGAACCCACAGTTCAAGGATTAAGAAAGAAAGCTTTACATCAATAAACTCCCTACCAAACGTTCAATAAAAATTCAATGTCTGTGGGGCACCTGGCTGGCTCAGTTGGTAGAGCATGTGACTCTTGATCTTCACATTGCAAGTACGAGTCCCACGTGGATGTAGAGGTTGATTAGAAATAAAATCTTAAAAAAAAAGTTAGTGTTTGCAAAACACTGGAGATGAAGATGAAGAAGGTGTGGTTACCACACACTCAGGGAGCATGTATCCCAAAGCTATAATAGCATATGATAAATGAAATAATAAAGGTATCAGCAAATTAATACGAAAACCCGGATATGGGAGCAATTTATATAACTCTATAAATTGATAAATACCAACAGAATATTTTTGAGGTAATTGTTCATAGGAGGTGTAAAATGCACACCAAGCTTCATAGACTATAGCTTCAAAGACATTTTTATACCTGTCTAAAGAAGAATCTTTTTTTTTTTTTAAGATTTTATTTATTTATTTATTTGAGAGAGAGAATGAGATAGAGAGAGCATGAGAGTGGGGAGGGTCAGGGGGAGAAGCAGACGCCCCGCTGAGCCGGGAGCCCAATGCGGGACTCGATCCCGGGACTCCAGGATCATGA